TTTCTTAAAGGCATCACAGACGACTGTAGAGGTGCTCGGTGTGCTAAAACCACAGCTGACAGAGCGCACGTGTTCGTTGTGAAATCATCTGTGCGTTCGTGAGATCTGCTCGGAGCGCAGAAACTTCCAAGGTGCCTTCACCGGCCAGTCGCCGCTTCACGAGCAGAGCTCGACGTGTCGATTTTATCCATCGTCTTATTTTAAGGAATGATCAAGTTTTACGTCAGTTTTCTACTTTGAGTTGATGCTTTGTGTTAAAATGCTGACAGGTGAGAGTTTTCACATGAGTTGGGTGCCGTGTTTTCCAGACTATAAGTCACACTTTTTTGTCATTTTGTCTAGTCCTGCAACGTCCGAAGCGACTTATTTACATTTTTTTTCCCTATTTGTGACATAATTTGTGACTGACGCATTAAATTTTCATTCATACTGACCTGAACCAAAGAGTAAACATTACTATTTGCAGCTGAGAGGGCCCTCTAAGCCTCTAGGCTATGGGATTGGTGAATTTACCAGTAACTTGCTTGTTGGACCAGTTGGCTTGTGATGTTAATTAATCCTGTTCAGGATCCCAGGTATGTTCTGTGGCACTTCGTGAAATTCACTTCTAAATAAATGTGACTTATATATTGTTTTTTCCTCGTCATGCGGCATTTTTTTGACTGATGTGACCTATACGCTGCAGCGATTTATAGTCCGAGAAATACGGTACAAACGATAGAATAAGAAGCTACACCTTAATGGAACATTTACTTGCCCAAAATAAATATGAAGAGCTCATTTTCATGGGGAAAAAACATTTTTTAAAGATGTATTCCAATTTTTCCTGCAATCAATAGGTGCAGTTTTGTATAGCAACATTTTTTTCAACTTTTATTCTGACATTTCTAAAGCTGTAAAGTGAGAAACATTACATTCCTTTTTGAACAAAAGTTCTTGTGACGTTAATGTCGCTATAAAAACTGAACTCCTCCTGTGTACGACGATGGACAGAAAGCAGATCAAGTGTGTTTGGATGTGGCGCTAAGTGATGAGGTGTCGCTTGAACTCACCGGTCCAGCTTCACGATCTGCTCATTCCAGGAAGAGACATTTGAAACATCCAGACAGCAAGAACATGAAGGGCATATAAAGGAGAGAAAAACAAAAAATATTTCTTGTCACTTCACACACGGATGACTCGTGTAAAAATTATCCCCAGGGATTGTTATCAGAACTGATCTGTGCTCTGACAAAACTCCACAGCAAAAAAAATAAAAATCTATCATCAAAATCCATCCAGCCAAGCTTTAATGCTTTTTATCCTTCTATCTCAGCATAATGTCCTCCAAACTGCTGTCTGGGTCCGGTCCCAGAACGAAACTCCCCAACACTTTGACACTGTGGACTTTAAGAAACAAACAAAAAAGAAAAGTCGTGCATCATTTCCAGAGTCACTGCACCTCTGTGGTGCTCTGCAGCGGCAGCAGAGGCCGCCGCCGCCACCGCCTCCAGGTGCGCCCTCTCATCTTTTGCAGCCAGCTGGGCTCCCAAAGCGCCGGACAGGGCGAGCAGGCCCGACCCGCCGCCGAGCGCCAGGCTGGGGTGGGGCAGTCCTGACGGGTGTGGTCCCACAGGCAAACCCTGAGCATGCTGGGATAGGTGCTGCACCTGAAGCTGCTGCTGCAGAGAAAAAGAAAGAAAACACAACAACAGAGAAGACAGAAGAGACATTTGTGCGACTTACAAGTAGTGCAAGAAGTGGAAGTAATCGAGAGGTAAAAGGAGAAAGAAGGAGGGAACTAATTGCTGCGATGTGCACAGAAATGCTAAGATAAAGGCAGTGGCTCTATAGAAGGGAAAACTCTGCGGGTGCGTTAAAGGGATAAGAATTTAACCAACAGATTTAAGCTTGTTATAAGTTTTCAGAAAAAAAAAAAAACTGCACCTAAATATTTGCCAAATCATTAACTCTTGGTTGGGCTGTAATTCAAGTTTTGTGGAATATTCTTCCTTTTTCCTGAAACAGATTTTTGTTCATCTAAAAATAATAATTGGACTCAGAGAGGTTGGCCAAAGAGTCAGCATATTTAAAAATTGGCAAAGGTCCATTTGCCTTGCAATAAAGCAAAGGAAAGGGGGAAACTTTAAAAATGGGAGTGTAAGGTACACACGCTATGAGGCAGAGGGGGGAGCCCACGTACCCCTATCGAAGCATTTAGCTCCCCCATGGTCACCTGTTTGGCGCGTTCCATTGCCTGGACCACCTGCTGCTGGTGCTGTGGAAGAAACCAAAATATCAGCCAGGGAACCAGACTTATAGATTTTCTTCTGTAAACTTAACATCAGCATGTACCGTATTTTCTGCATTGCACGTTGCTCCGCCCTATAAGTCGCATCAGTCCAAATATGTCTAATAAAGTGGAAAAATCCATAAATATGTCGCTTCGCCGTATACGTCGCATCTATTATGCGTCACCACTGATGCGTTGCGTTTGTTACGCGTCACCGCCGAAAACCCGGAAATGTCGCCCGGTGTTGTGTCAAAAATCGATGGGCTGCCAACTGGTGGCCGCAAGAGCGTGCACGGGAGGACTTTAACAAGAATTGAACAGGATTAACACTTATAAACAATTATTTGTTTGCTCGAAATTATAGTAAAGGTGTGTCTCAGTTGAACTTTTACTTAATAAATGCACTTTAATGGTCAAATTAGCTGCATTTCGCCGGGGAGGTGCAGCTGTTTTGACAACTGCTCCAAGGAGCGAGCAGAACGAAGGTGGGGACTAAGGCAAGCTAATTGTGTCATTAATAGCTGGTGAAGACTCTCGGTCATCCAGGACATGGTAAATTCAAAAAAGTTCAAGACAAAAACAATAAAGTATAATAAATAAAGTCCAGTTGTTTTTGTCTTGAACTTTTGTGAATTTGTCATTATAGCCACTTTTCCTTATTACATGATACAACGGCATGCCATACTACTCTGCTGTCATCTAGTGGCTGAAAATGGTACTGTTCAGTTTTTGTTTTGTTTTTTTGTCAAAATGAATGAAAACGGTCATATCTCAGCCAAAAATTGATTTATAAATATGGGAAAAAATCCATAAATACATCTCTTTGGCCTATAAGTCGCAGTGCATGCAAATTATGCAACAAAACTGTGACTTATACAGCAAAAAATACGGTACATTTGGTAATAATGTAATCCAAGTACCATTTGAATATTATTTTTTAATGCCTTTATTCATTTTTAGTGTGATTGCAGCTGTTGGGTGAAGCAAATTAATGTGTGTTAAGTTCTGTCCATCTGAAAGTTTGTGTGAAAGAGATACTGATAAATGGAAGTGTGCGTGTGCATGTGTGTGTGTGTGTCCCACCTCCTGTGACAGGAAGGGGATGAGCTG